AGCTTCTGGCTGGGGGCTTTGGTTTAGCAGCGACCGGTGATGGCTGACCCTTGGGGTGCGAGAGGGGAGGCCTGCTGAACGCGCTGGTCTCTGACGCCCTGAAGACGGCCCCGCCGTTGGGCCCGGGGCCGCCGCCGTCCTCCGGGTGACTGTTCTTGCTGCCCTGGCCGCCGCCCCTCTGCAGCCGCTCCACCGCGATGAGATGACTTTGCGTCTCCTCTAGAATTTTCTGGGCCAACTCTTGTGGATCGAGCTTTGGGTTGCTCTCTTCTTGGGATTTCACGGTGCTGTCGGTTTCTGTGCTCGACTGGTCCGATTCTCCCGTGTCTGAACTTGCTAGTTTGCCAACCTTTTGGAAGGGAGAGTTGGGGCTGGGAATCAGAGTCATTTTAACCGGAGAGTTGGGTGTGCTCACGCTGCCCTTGGAGCTTACCGAAACCTTCACGCCCCCGGCCGTCCCCACTCGCGACTGCTTGTGATCCGGCGAGAAGCGCAGCTTCCGGTTTTCCGGGTAGGCCGCCAACGGCTCGGTGCTGATGATGGAGAAGCCCTCGTATTCTTCTTCATCTTTGCCGCCCGCAGGGCGGGTCTGGGGGGACAGCTGGCCCCGAGGCAGGGTGGACCGCTGCGGGTAGGCGTTCTTGGACCGGTCGTAGTCCTGCCGGCCGCGGGGGCCCCCGCCTTCCGACCCCGCCTCGGGCTTGGAGACGAAGCTCATGGAGGAGGCGATGGAGCTCAGGCTGTACACGGAGATGGCATCCGAGGCGATGCTGTCCGCACCGGTGGGGGAGAAGGGCGGGTGCTGGTAGCTCAGGGGCAGGGCATTGGAGACGGACTGGGCCGAGGCCAGAGACTCCAGGGAGGATGAGCTGTCGAGGCTGAGGCGCTTGGGCAGCTCGGTAGAATCTGAGACAAGACATAAGTGCCCAGAGGGCAGTTAGAATTCTCTGTGGCTTCGATGTTTTTTTCAAGGTCACAAGCATCCCCTTACACGCAGGAGCTAGCTGGGGGCTGTGTATGTGCTGCGTGCACACAATCTGAATTTACCCCGGAATCCTGGGGAACGAGGTCCCGCCGGGAAGGGTAAGTGTCGTGGCTCGTGCTCCGAGCGGGGCCTGTGGGCCATCTGTGCTGCCCCCTGTCCTGAACCCACAGCCACTACCTTCTGGATTCCAGCAGCCTCCTCAGGGTCATTTACACTCTCTCTCTGCGTTGCCTTTCCTCCTCCCCCTTCCCCTAGCCCCTTCTTCCCCCCGCCCCCAACCCCCTCCACTTGAACCTCAGCCCTCCCTCGTTCCTGTAAACGTCATCGGCAGCATCCATGCTGCCAAACCCACTGTTCACTGCCCAGGTTCACAGTTGGTCGCTCCCTGCCCTCACTGACCACTCCTTCCCGGGACCTCCTCGTCTTTGCAAACTGTGAACCCCAGAGTGATCACAGGACACAGTCCTCTCCCCGCCGGCCTCTCCCCGAACTTCAGACTCCTGTAACCAGCCGCCGGCACAGGTGTCTAACGGCCATTTCAGAACTGAATGTGTCCAACATGGAACTCAGGCCCATTCCTCCTGCCACTTCCAAGGTCTCAGCAAAAGGTGGCGTTTGTTCCCCAAAACAAGGTATTGCCTGCGACCCTCCCTTCCTGTGACGTACACCCTTCAGCAGATCCCGTTGATTCTGCCTTCAGACCAGGGCCACCATCCTTGCCAGCATCCAGGCACCACCCTCTGAGAGTGGCAGGCAGGCAGAGTGCCCCCAGGGGACTGAAAGCTGCTTCCAGCATGAATGACCGGGACCCGCCCCTCCCTAAGTCAGCGGCTGCCACCCCGTCTCGTCCCATCCTCTGCGTGTCCTCTTCACTGCGCTAGGCGACACCTTGTCTCTACCACGTGTTGTGATCATGAGCTGGTGTGTTGACCGCCTTCGGACAGTTCCGAACACTTACGCCAAAACTACACGTTCACTTTTCCTTCCCTTCCCAAGATGCAGCCAGGCTGGCACGGGCATCTGCACCCCGGGCGCGCGGGGGGGCGGCATGGAGGGGGCGGTGGGGGAGAGGCGCTTACCGAAGAGCGCGAGCAGAGACTGCAGGGCAAAGTGCACGGTTCGCCGGTTGGCTTGTTTCCCGGTTTTCAGGATTACTTCCTCCTGACCCACTTCACAGAGATCGAACCCTAGGGGAGCAAAGAATGTAAACATCTGCTTCCGTAGGGAAGAGTCCACGTCTGGAAAAGGCTGAGAGCCGCGGGGCTCCTTGGACGGTCTCACGGGAAGCCCCGCGGGCCCCTCAGCAAGCGCCCAGCCTGGGGTGGCCCCGGGTGCCGGTGCGAGGGCCCCCCCCCGAGTGCAGAGTGTGCACCTGGAGGCCTGGCTCCCTCCCTCCTGCCCGTCCTGGAGCACCGGCAGCTTTCCCGCCCTCAGCTGTGTTCCCGAGAGCCCCTGGTCCCAATCAGTCGGGCTCATTCCTTCCAAGAACCGTGCACTGAAAAAAGACTTGAAGAGGGACAAAAACCGGCCACTCCATTCGGCCGGGGGTCCAACACTTAAAGCTGGTGCCTGGGAAGGTGGAGGCTTCTTAAGGGCAGGGACGGTGTCTTCACACGTGCTCAGCGTCTGCCACCAAGGGCGTGGAAACGAGCGCGCCTGACGATGGAGCGTCTGCTTTCTGGGCCGAGCCACCCCACTGGGACTGCGCTCTGTTTGTTCTGCTGAAGTCCAGGGGGACCGCTCCCTGACACCAATGGCTCTACTGAGACGTGGAGCGGGCACAGCAAAGGGCAGGAGCCGCCCGAGCAGGAGGCGAGCTACCGAGCTGCCACCAGCGCACGGAGACTTATTAGAGACCTCCCAAAGGCACCTGGCGCACTTCTCCCTGGGAGGCACACGGGAAGAAGGAGCCAAACGCAGACGCCATGGCCAAAGGCTGTGTGCACAGACAGGATGTAGGGCCCGCGGAGCCCTCAGCACCCAACATCCGCGTCCAGCCTCCCGCAGCGGATCACTGAGCGCCGCCTGCAACTGCGGAAGCGCTTGGTGCCGACGGCCCAGGGGGCAGGCACCTGTGATCCCGGGCTCTTCCCTCCTCTGACGTACAATCTGCCGTAGCCTGCATGCTGTGCATGTCATGGCCGAGTGTTCGCCAAAGCAGAAGGGTGTCTACGTTTTCATTCTAACTCCAGGGTTTTGATACGGGTCTGGCGCTAATTCCCCTGGGAATTCGGTTCACTCGAGGAGCTACCTCAGCCTTCCGGTTGCTCTGAGACATTTTCCCCTCTGGACTCAGAAATAAACAGTCCCTGGAAGCAGCAGGAAGGTCTCCGAGAACTCAGCATTTCAGGGAGAATAACTAATTCATATTAAATGTAAGATTTTGGTTAGAAACCTCTACTTCTAGCAGAACGATGTGACTTGGTTCCTCCGACAGCACTGAAGTAAATAGCCAACAGCCCTGTGATGGGTTGTGATGGCTCCTGCTGGGTGCTGAGGGCTGGAAAGAGGGCACCCGGTGCCTCAGAGCCCTCAAGAGTGAGGGAGTCACTTGTCCAGATGCCCAGCCTGCAGAGACTTTTCCTCCTCCAGTCCCAGTCCAGGCACACTGGGTCGCCCCTTGAATACCAGTGGATTTGGAAAGTGCCAGGAAGTAGGAAATTACCCACAATTCCCAACACCGAGGAGAGCTAACAATCCACTTGGAAATATCCAGTTCACCAGTGAGGAGGGCTGGCTGTCAGACCCACACTGAAGGGAGGAGGTGTAGGCCCTGCATGAGGAAGACAGCTTTTCCTTTATAGAGAAAGGTCTTGGCTCCGTCTTCCCTCACCTGGGTCCTGTGTCACTGCTCCAGGGACAGGCCTGTCCTAGAGGTCAAACGAGATTCCTCCTGAGTGTGGACCTGGCTGCTACTGACTATATTTACTTAGATATTAATTTGTTATGTTTATACCAAGAAGACTGTGCTTTAAGTCCACAGAAAGAGTACAAATCATAAAGGATGTCAGAGCATTGACTTATAGAGATTCAGAGTCCCTATGGGGCTTTGGGGGTTCCCCCATTAAAAGCAAACAGAGCCAGGGGCGCCTGGGTGGCTCAGTTGGTTAAGCGTCCGACTCTTGATTTTGGCTCAGGTCATGATCTCACCCTTCATGAGATCGAGCCCTGTGTCGGGCTCTGTGCTGAGAGCATGGAGCCTGCTTGGGATTCTGTCTCTCCCTCTCTCTCTCAAAATAAATAAACATTAAAAAATAATAATTAAAAAACAAAAAAAGCAAATGGAGCCAGCCCTAAGTTGAGGCGGGCCGGGAAAGGTCACCTGCAAAATGGGTTATAAATGAGGCCTTATGCTGAATATCCAGGTTTCACAAGCAGAAGAAAACTGCCTAAGGACTGGCTGCTCTGCCATGTCGGATGGCCTGGTCCCCGTGACAGTGACTCGAAGCTGTGTCATCCTCCGGAACCCCCACTCCCTCAGGTTCAGACATAGGCCTTCCCGTGGCCTCATCTGTCCCTGTGCCTCCTGCACCAGCATGGGTGCCTCACACATATGCTCACCGATGGCTCTTCCCTCTGCCTGGGTCTTTCCCCCTGAAGACACCCACCTGCCTCCCTGCCTCCTACCCCTGCAGCCATCGCTAGGACCCTAATGCTTCTGCCTGTGACCTAAGGTGCCCCCCTTAGGCCAAGTGTCTACCATATCTGCCCACGAGGCTGACAACTCTAGGAGCGCACGGTCCTCTGCTCAGTGCTGCACCCCCAGAGCCTAGCACCTTGCCTCACAGGACCCAGGCGTTCGCAGAGAAGCTGGTGGAGGGAATGGCTCCCGGGCAAATCACACAGGCACTTAAGTGGGACAGGAGAGCAGCCTGCAGCCTCTTGTGGTTTTCGCATCTAGTAAAGGAACAATGATGTCAAGCTGCCTCAGCCATGTTACAGTGTCACAAAAGGAACAGAAAGCATCTAGGTGCACAAGAATCCTGGTGCGTGCAGTTCTAGGTCCCCAGCACCAAATCTAACAAATCTAACGGAGTTTCAACAGTAGGATAGAGACCGACCCTAAAACCCTTATTTTGTGACTTTGTTTTCTTTAGCTTTTAATCATGGCTTGATCCCCAATGGTGCTGAAAGCTAGCGCGTTTATATTAAGATGATGCCTAGAAACGAGAGAGGAGACCGAAAGGTAGGTAGGGGAGGTGGAACCAGGCTGGAGGGCCGTTTGGAAACTGGGCTAAAGTGCTGGAATCTTTGAACCATCTTTACATAACAAAACAGCTAAGAAAACACAAAGACCCCTAAGAATCTACCAGCCTTCCCCAATAGAAACTGGGAGAAACAGGGTTTTAAAAAACAGGAGTGAAGACGTGGGCAAAGGGTGCCCCGTCCTACCTAGAGCCGCCAGGAACTCATGACAGCCCGGGAGCCGCCACAGCTGGACGCTGATGGACACCTGGATGGGGGCCGAGGCGAAGTCCTGCTCCTTCTCGCCCGCCTGCAGCTGAACCAGCACCTGGTGGAGCTGAGGGACAAGAACAGGTGAGCCCCGCGCCTTCCCAGCGCCTCTGTCCCCTCCAGCCCGCCTACGATTTGTCCCCTGTATCACTTCTGCGTCACCTGGTGCTGTCATCCCTAATGACCTCACACGTGCCCAGCACTGGAAGTTCCTTGTATGGCACCTCACGCCTACCGTCTTGGCTCCTCTGGGGAGGCTCAGGGGAGGGGGGGGTCACAGGTCAGGGCAGACGCACCTCTTCCCTCCGCGCACTGGTGCTGGGGTTGGGGGGCTAGAAGAGGGGTGGGTTGTAGGACTGGCCGGCCCCCTCGTTAGTCTTTATTAGAACCCTCTTGATGATCTCGAGTTACATGGTGAAGGTATGTTCTAGAGCCTTAGTGCTCACAGAAGAACCCACACGACCCATTCGAGTGCCCGTGGCAACTCGGGTCAGGGTCACTTAAAGTCACTTCCGCCCCTGCTGTTCTGGTGGAGCTTGAGAGGTCAAATCAAGAACACAAGAAGGGTGGAGCAGGAAAGGGGGAGCCAGAGCAGAGGAAGAGGGCAGTCGCGCGAGGTGGTGGCCAGCGGCCGGGGTCAGCCCAGCCCGGGGCGCGCGTGGGCAGGTGCACGGGGCTCCCACAGCACGTGCGCCTGAGCTCACAGCGGGCCCGGGGGACGCGGGGGTGGCGGGTGCAGGGGCTCACCTGACAACAGTTGCTACTTAAAGTAGTTACTCACCATTCCAACCATATTTTTAACAGCCTTCGGCCAGCAGATTATAAGAAAAAGAAAGAAAAAGAGAGAGAAAGAAGAGAGTTTAGACTCAAGCACAGGTTGTTATGCAACACGAGCTGCTTACTGCTTTAGGAAGCGCCACACCAGGCCCGCGGCTCTGACCGGGAGGGGAGAGGAGCGAGAGTCAGCAGGGACACACAGGAAAACAAACAGCCACACCAGGCCAGACGCGGTCAGGGGTAGCCAGGCCCTGCCCTTCCTTGCCAGGAGAGGAGCAGGGCAGGCAGGACTCGGGTGGGAGGCGGGGGGAGGGGGTGCACAGGCCATGTATAGGCCACTCTAGAAATGTCCGTGGTTCCAGAGTGACTCAAGAAATATCCACCTTCTGCTGGCCATGGGGGGCAGCCCCGGACATGGTGCCTGGGGCCCAGCGGGATAGGAGGCAGAAAGTCCCTATGATGCCACCCAAAGCAAGAAATCAAGCAGCTGGGTTTTGGGACTCGGCCTTGTCCTGCAGATGTAATTCTAGAGTTCTCTTTCTTGTAGAGCACAGGCTTCCAGCCCTCCTGGGTTCAGGACGTTCTAGAAGTGCCTTCCTGATTCTCTCCAAAAAGGAGATGTAACACGCTTACTGCAGAGCGAGCAGGAACTAAAGAAGGGGCCATGTCATTGAGCTACGGTGTTCCAGATCTGGGCTGGAAACAACTCCAGGTAGGTGGGGGGCTCCAGGCACTCAGATTTTCAGAGGTTAATCCTAGACAGAACAGCTTTATTTCTGCACAGAAACATTAACATCTAATATGAAAGCTGATAATATATATTGTTTTCTCAAATTATTACACTACAAGATGACCAGAGACAACTGTCCTGTGTAATTCATGGTCGCTATACCATCTGGAAGCACTCCCACACACAGCGGTCACCCTGGGGTTCACCATGTCACTTCTTCCCCTTGTTCCAGACCCTCACTGGCAGTAGGAAGGTCAGGAGCTCTGAGGCCAAGTTGGGAAGGGCCTACATGATACTGAGAGACTCTTCCTGATTGCTGAATTAGATCTACGTTCCCTTCAAAGAAAGCACATTTTTAAAAACCTGCTAACCAATATCTTGCATTAGAGTTGACTTTGTGTTCACGGCTGTGGCTACTTTGTTTCAGGCAGGGTTCATACTCTGATCTGGACACCTGTAGTGGACCTGGCAGGCTAGCCCTACACCTGCTGGCTGAGGGAATGTGGCTCTAACACTTGTCAGCAGAAAAAGCTGGCGGTCGGGGATGACAAGGTGCAGGAGGCCACTGAATAGTTCAGGAAATGGCCTGAGACTGCAGGGGACAGGGGCCCCTTAGGCATCCTCTGATGCCTTACTGCTCTCGGAACCCAGTGCCCAGAGAAGACAGCACAAGCATCTGCCCCCTGTGCGTGCACATGCCTGGGGGGCCATTTCACCCCCAGCCCTCGCCTTTTCTTTCTAATCCCAAAGGCTGAAAAAAGTAAAAGACAGTGTTACTTGCAGATTCCTATTTAGGGCCAAATCACCCCGTCTTTCCAGCTTGGCACGGCCCTCAGGCCTGGGCTCAGCCGCCCTAGCTAGCTCAACTCACCCGGCTGATGAGCTGCTCGCCAGTCTCCGAGGCAGTGATGAGCTTGCAGAGGGCTTGGAGGGCAGGGTTGGGCAGACCTAAACCAAGAAGAAGGTGCGTGTTACCCAAAAGAGCCTCTGCACTCACAGCTCTCCCCAGGCTAAGAGCCTGAGACGCTCTGCGTCGGTGGCATTTTCAAAAGCGTGGGACAGCCAGGCATGTGGGTCTATGTCTGACTTGAGAAAGGAGAGAAGGGGCTCAGAGAAAGGCCAGTCCTGCCCCTGCTGCAATCCTCCAGGTGTGTGGTGACGTTCCTGGGATCCCAGCCCTGGCTCAGGCAGCATCACCTCCTCTGAGTGATACACAAAAGTCAGCCCTGAGCGCCTGCAGGCTGCTTGATGCTGGGGTTTGGCCACACAGCTCTGTCAGATCCGAAGCTGCCAATGAAATATTAAGGAAGCTACTGTCCACCCAGCCTTCCTCCGTGTGACTCCAGGAAGAGGCAGAGCCAGGGCCGTGCCCTGCTGGGGCAGAGAATGCTTTGCTATTTCAGATCTCTTCCACGTGAGGCGAGGTCTGTGTCTGCGACCCTGCCATGTTTTGGGACACTCGCTCCTTTCCAGCTGTGAGAGCCAGCATCCCTATGAATGCAGGGACCGTGAGGCTCACCCAGCAGGGACTGGATCGTGCTGCTGCAATGCTGGAGCCGGTCGCCCGGGTCGGAGGTCGGGAAGAAGACCGCTGCGGGCAGGCCGCTGGCAGGGGGGTCCAGCCGGAAGCCCACGGCGGTGAGGAGGGCCTGCCAGCCGGGGATGCCGCCCACTTTGTTCTCCACACTCTGCTGGGACGTGTACATGGCGTTGCGCTGCCCGTTCTGGATGCGCTGCAGGGACTTCTCCACCTGCAAGGGCGAGGGGGAGTGAAGCGCCACTCCGGGCAGGGGCAGGGGCCAGCCCCGGTTTCTCTCCCGGTGGCTCTGGGGACACACAAAGCCTAAGGCGTGAAGCCAGTACGCGGCTGCCTGCTGCCCCCTGGGCGCCCAGGCCTGGGGATCCTGACACTGCGGCAGCGGCCCGGCTTCTCGCAGGGGAGGGCAAGAAGGGAAAGAAGGTTCCGGTCCACGCCAGCGAGGGCCGGGAGACTCGGAAGAATTCTGGCCCCTCCCGAGCCCACTCTTCTGCTCCCGGCTCTCCCCCACAGACACTCAAGTGACTCATCTAAAACCCGCTCTCAGGCCTGCCTCAAACCGTGTAGCGGTGCCCCATCACTAGGACAAACCTTCAGGCCCCCGAACCCTCTTCGCTGGCCCACACACCTCACACACAGCCAGCGGTCCCCATCGCGGGGCTCTGGCTGGCGGCGCCCTTCTTCCCCGTGCCCCTGACTCCCCCTTCGTCCCTCGGCAGTGACCTCTAGAACCTATGCCTCCCCTTCCACCTCTGGTCCCCCTCCCACCCGCCAGGGCCGAAGCCATGCCTGGCACACGCTGGGCTCAGTGTGTCCAGTCACTACTGAGTCCGCTCTCCCCGTGAGCACCTCCCACAGCCTCCGGCCTCCCCGCAGGTTTCTCTCCTTAGGGGAAAGCTCCGTCCCTCCAGAGATCCCGTGTGCCCCAGGGCACGTGTGCCATCACTGGAGGGGCAGAAGAGCCGTCCAGGATGTCACCTGAGAATTTTCTCACAGTACGACCCTGGGATGCTGGGAACTGACCTCACAGGCAGGACAGGAGTGTTCCTGGGCAGGACAACCAGCTGGCTGGCTGGCACGCCTTGGAGACATGCTGCCCACTGGGCCCCGGGGGGCACCCAGGGTAGTTAGGAGGCAAGGGCTGGTGAACTTGACCCATGGCCCCTGTACTCACCCTGGGAAACGAAGCCAAGAAAGAAGAGACAGCCCTTAAATGTGCCTGAGGGGCCGCAGGGCTGAGTGGGGAGTGGAGAGACCTGGCTCTGGCTCCAAGCCTGGTCTGGGAGAAGAAAGCCAAAGGGGTAGAGAGGGCATTTCGGTTCTCTCAGAAAAGCAGCTTGGGGGCCGCAGCAAGGAAGCCAGGAGGGGAGGGACTCTGGGGGGGGGGACGGGGCCGGAGAAGGTCCTAAGCCGAGCAGCCGAATCACTCTGTGCGGTTTCCAGGCACAGGTCCGAATCAGCCAGGAAGAGTCTCCCCAAATTCTCAGAGCAGTGAGCTCAGCTACCCTGGAGCAGGCGGTGTGGGCTGCCTCACGTCTGGCCCGCGGGCCACCTGGGGTTTGCAGGTGACCTCCTTCCTACCTGGCCACACACTGATGTCAGGCAGACCCTGAGCTTAGGAAACGTACAGGACTGACCGACCACCAGGATCACACTGAGCGCCCCTGCCTGGGCCCCGGGCCCATGGGGGCAATAAGCGTGCCCAGCTGAGCGGACGTGCCCACCGGAACCCGGCCCCCAAAGTAAGCTCCCTGCTCAAAGCCCCCAGCCTGCTCCCAGGGCCTTTGTGGATCCCCAGAGCCCCACGTCCTCTGTCTCTCGAGCTCGGACAGAGCCACGGCGTGTGCACCTCTGTCCTCCGGGGTGGCAGCGGGCAGCTGTTTGCATCGGGTCTGGAAAGAGTGTGGATGTGGCATGGACTGTCCACCCACGCGGACCCCCCGGGCTGGGGCGGGGCTGGTCTTCCCTGCGCAGAGCTCCATGGAGGCTGACGGTTCTAAATTGTTAGAAGCCGCCTTCCAGGTTACCAAGTGGGAGAGCGGAAGGGATGTCGTGTCACTGCTTCTTGGCCCGATGTATAACTTTTAAATGCGTGGACGCTGATGTGGGGCCTCTGTCTATACCCTCGCGCCGGCCCCACAGAGGCTGGGATTGGCCAAATGCAAGGTCAGCGCTGGACTCTTCCTCCAACCAAATTTCAGGGAAGGCCCGTGCCGTTTAAAATACCACCTCTCAGCCACTAGGACCCTACTGTGTTCCAGCTACTCACCTGTTCTCTAATCCTCCCAATGACCTTGAAAAATTCAAAGTTTTATCCGCCCTTCCGGATGGGGAAACTGAGGCTCAGCGAGCCAGGCGAGTTGCCCAAGGCCACATGGCCCAGAAGCAGCTGCGACATGGGTCCCAGGACCTCGGCAAAGACTGCCACAGCCGTGCCCAGGACACGGGTCGTGCCTGCCGCTCGACCAATTGGCTCAACCCGTGGACGTCTGGGGATGGTGCCCCCTCCACCTGCTCATGTCCCCCGGTGCCAGGGAAACGCCACAGCCTCCCCTCCTCTCGAGGGCGTCTGCCCCCGAGAGCCTGGGTGAGGCGCTTACCAGGTGCAGCAGCACTCGCAGGGCGTCCCGTGCGCGCTCCGGGTGCTGGAGGATCTCCGTGAGGGCCTGGCCGATGAGCGACGAGGGGCTGTTGAGCTTAACGTCGCTCCCGATGAGCAGGAACCCTGCGGAGAACCAAGGAGGGCGTCTCTGAGCCTGCCCTCACCTCGGTACCTCACAGCCGCCGGGCCAAGAGGGGCCCTCGCGGCAAAGTGGAAGGATGGATGGCGGGGATGTCTAACTCACCGGGGGACCCTAAGGTGCCTTTCTGTCCCCTCCCTTTTAGGAACTGATACTGTTTCGCTGCTCGGGGAGTGGTGGGCACTCGGGGAAGTGCCTCCGTCCTCCTGCTGCACAGGAAGTGAGGGCAGAAGAGGCCGTGGGGGTCCCTGGGCTGATGGGCCGGGCCCCCAGGGCCCCTTCCCTGGCTTGGCCACCATCCCCAGGAACACTGGAGACACCCCTGTGTCTGTCTGGAGCATGTCCGGGGACGGGGCCACCAGCCGCGGGGCAAGAGGCACCCTTCTCTAGCCGTAGGAACGAGCAGGCAGCCGGGGCGGGGGGACCCACGCCGTGCCCGGGGGAGGGACGGAGGGGTCTCCTCAAGCCACCAAGCAAGCTGAGGACCAAGCTGCTCCCAGATAATGGGGAAAAGGGGATTTCCAAGGGCACGAAGGAGGCAGGGCTGTTTTTAAGGTGAGCAGGGCAGCACCATTCAGACACCGCTGTCCCCAGCACTGAGCGGTGACTTGTGTGTTGTCCGTCGCTAAAACAAGGACAAAGACGCCACATCCATAAACACGTTGGGAAGATCGGGGGAGGGATCCCCCAGAGAGGCGCAGGGTCCCGTCAGGAAGAAGCGCCAAGCACGGGGGCCCAAGCCCCTCTGACTGTGGGGAGCACACAAAAGCAGACTTCAGTGCCGCCAGCCGTCACGGGGCTGCCGCCACCGGCCCTGCTTGCCGCATCTCCCGGTGGGGAAGCAGTTGAACAACACAGCCCGGCCCCCGGCCCTCCCCTCGCGGAACAGCCGCTGCCAGGAGGTTTCTCTTCAGCTGCATGAGGAAACGGTAGATTCTGTCCTGTTCTTTCCAAACGCCTTTTAGGAAAATGCTACGGCTGTGCCGCTGCGTGAAGCAAGCAAATGTTTCCATTTCTGAACAACACGGCTCGGTGGCCGGGCACCACCGCTGGCCCTCGCCGCTGCCGGGGTGCGGGCCCCCGGGTCCGCCTCGGGCCTCCCTTCCTTTGCAAGATGGCGCCACCCCTAGCGGCAGACGCAAACCCGACTTATTTGGAGAGGAAGGGAGAGGCGAAAGCCATCTTGTTCCCGGTTTTTAAACGTATACGTGGATTAAAACGAAATATAAACGTTTGAAAGGGGTGTGTTTGGCATTTCTATTTCTCGAGACTAAGACACTGTGTTTACGGGTCGGTCCCATTGCTACGGCACTGATGGGAACTTGGCCTTTGCTCTGGAGCGTCCTGGGAGGTTCAGGGGCCGCCCCTGAGAGACAGCCACAGGCTGACACATCGTGGGGTGCGTCAGCGACGTGGCCCTTGCTGGGTGAGGCTGGGGGGCGTGGCGAACTCTTCGTGCTGCAGTCTGTCGGGGAGGGCTTCCCGCACGGGAGGGTCTCCAGGTCAGCCTCTGTCCCACCTGTGACCAGGCGTCACAGACGACACTGTCCCCTCACTCCCAGACCTCCGAGCCCATGGCAGGCCTGCCCGGAGCACGTGCTGTCGTAGCACACGTGGCACAGACACTGAACGCGCCCCCCCAGATGGTCCACACACGGACGAGGAGTTCTCACCCTTTTGTGACCAGTGAGGGCGCTGAGCTCCAGGAAGGGTGAGGCTCCGGTCACAGAGCCCAGGCGTGGGGCTAGGTCAAGCCCAGGTCTCCCGATGACCAAACCCAGGGTCCTTCTACCACACGGCTCTTTCCTACAGTCCCTCAAGGGAGTTCACGCGAAGGTGCCACAAAACGGGTCGTCCAGCATACACGTACGTCTCAGGAAAGGTCGACCCTCACGCTCCAATGGCAAACTATTCTGCGGCTCCCTCGTCAAAAAGACCACTTTCACACCATGGGGGTAAACGACTGACTTGGCAGAAGGCCAGAGTCTCCGCAAACACCGCCCTCTTCCTGCGCTTCCTCGGGGCCCCGCGCTGCCCTCCTCACCCCCACCCGGGGGCTGGCCGTGAGGACCAAGCCCCGGGGTCCGCCAGCGGCCCGTGCTCCTACCTGCCCAGTTGGATGGGTGCGAGAAGGCCTTGCTGCTCTGCACCGCCTTCATGGCCTCCCCCAGGGCAGCACTGGCTTTCAGGCCGTTCAGCAGGGATGAGTAGAGGGCGTGGAGAAACATCTTGGAAGCGGCCACAGGCACGGGCCACAGGGACACGAGGACACACTGTGCGCCGGCAGCCAGGAAGGCCCGCGTCAGCGCGACGACCCCGTCCGCCGTGACCTTGCTGTGGGACTCCTGAGAGGAGCCGAGGACCACCAGCTTCACGGGAAGCCGCAGGTCCAGGACGTCGGCGGCCGTGAGCAGCAGCTCCTGCAGGGGCGGACAGTCCGAGATGCTGTCCCCGTCGCTGGCGTCGTCCTGCACCCGCAGGGACTCGGGGATCGTGTAGGGGTGGCCGAAGGAGCTCTTGCCGCCGGCCGGGTTGCCGTCAGCGCCGGGGGTGAGGACCAAGGCCGACAGTTTCCAAGAGATGTGGGTGGCGAAGTGGACGCACTCGGCCTGGGTCAGGGCGCTCATGACCCTCTCCTTGGTGGCCACGCTGCCCACCAGGGGCTGGCAGCCCAGCAGCTCTGACACCATGTAGGCTTCCTCCTCAGCCGACGGCATCGGCCCCCACAGCCACCTGTCCATCACCGCCGGCGGGAGCTTCGGGTTACCGACCACGGCCGCCATGGACGTGGAGCTGGAGGACGTGGGCGGGTTCTTCCTCAGGTGAGACTAGGGAGGGAAGACAGACCAGCGGGCCACCCGTCAGACAGTGGCCCGCTGCCCCGGTGGCCGCAGCCGGCTCGGCCGCAGGCTTCCGGGCAGTGCAGGGCTGGGCCCAGCTCGGCTGCACCTGTTCCCCCACTGACCTCGTTCGCTCAAACGTTCCACACCTTTTAGACCTGGGTGCTCGTCTCACGGAGAATCACACAGTGGTTCTCCATGCGACAAGCTCTTGACAGTTGGGACCGGACGGGAGAAAGGGCCTCTCCCGTTTGTGAAGCCCTGGGGGGCCGGGGGCAGGAGGTGAGGGCATGTGGTGCCCGCCTGCCCCACGCGTTTCACTCCCGCAGACCTCCCTGCGGGCCCTGAAATAAGGGGGACACTCATTCCCCAGGAGTCAGGGCTCTGGGAGTGACCAAAGGCAAGTCAGTCTCGGCGGAGCCAGGGCTAACTTAACACACTCTGTACTGGAGAGATCACGGCTGGCCTCTGCTCCCTGTGCTGCAAAATAGAAACATCACTGAATTATAAAATCGCACAGGGGCGCCTGGGTGGCTCGGTCGGTTGGGCGTCTGACTTCGGCTCAGGTCATGATCTCACTGTCTGTGAGTTCGAGCCCCACGTTGGGATCTGTGCTGACAGCTCAGAGCCTGGAGCCTGTTTCGGATTCTGTGTCTCCCTCTCTCTCTGCCCCTCCCCTGTTCATGCTCTGTCTCTCTCTGTCTCAAAAATAAATAAACGTTAAAAAAATTAAAAAAATAAAATAAAACCGCACAAAGTCCAGCGAAGTTCTGGTTGCCCCCCAGAGGTGCCTTTCGATGCTGTGGGGGAAACATCAAGTATCAAGTTATTTCAGAATAACTTGCTGGTGGCTCCACTAGGTGGATACCTCGGACTCGGCAGGAGAAGCGCCTGCCGGGCGTCAGGCAGGAGACGGGCCTCTCCCTCTTCCTGGCTACGGTGGCAAACAGCCAGCTCACTGTTGTCATCAGCACGAAGCTCTCTCAACATGGGCCGCCTCTGCCCCTCAGGGTGCCTCTGGCAGCAGGTGCAGCAAGAGGCCCTCCGTGCGGGACAGTGTCCAACGGGGCCAGCTCCCTTTGCATCTGGGGTTCAGAGTCGGCCACGGCCACACAAAATACTCAGAGGAAATAATTTCTTTCACTTTGAACTAATTCCGTTCCATGAGAAGGTTACAATCCAGCCACCGAAAATGGTCAAACAACTAAGGTGTCCCCAGCCCCGCGAGGCAGAAGCTGACCTGGTTTGAACCATGTCAATGACCAAGGTCAACAGGGGCGAAGGCAGATCCCAAGGGGGCTGTCCACACCCAGGGCGTGGGGTTTGGGTTCCTAAACGAGCCACTTTCTCCCACTAGGAGGGGCCCCGTCTGAGCCGGCTCTGTGGGGCTCCGAGAGCGCCAGCACTTGAGGCCATTGTCAAGTTTGAAGACTGGGCAGGGCAGCTGGGCCGCCAGAGTGCGTGCCTGGCGGGTCGGGGGCCGTGAGGGTCTGCGGGTTTGGAGAAGGGGAAGAGGATCGGGGTTGGCTGGAAGGCTCTCCAATCAGGCGGGCGGGCCGAGGGTGGCTGTGGGGTGAGACCCATGACTCTGTGGATGGCCTACTGTCGCCCTCTTGATTTTTGTGGACATCGCTTCTCACACTGACTCTTGTGCGGAATGAGACCCAAATCCCTGTCTGTCCCCTGAAAGCCACCTCGTTTGTACTCAGTTCTTTCGTTGGCCTGTGAGACCCATTTCCACTTGACGGTAATCTCACGTGTCCGCCAGCCCTGTCTGCGGCCCCTCCGCCGTGGGCAAACTCAGCGCCCGGTCAGCGTGAGGTCGGGGGCGCCGGGGGAAACCACGTTCCTCAGATACTCAGCCTGGCCTCGGGCCTGACCCGGTGCCTCCGAGTAGCTCCCAACCTTGATGTCACGGCAAAGACATCTGGAGAGAAATGACACACATCACGGCTTCCTGGGACAGCAAAGGACGGTCAGGGGTCAGGAGGGCTGCCCCCCGACCTCCGGACGGATCTACTCCCAGGGCAACCTACTGGGCCGCAAACAACAACATTAACATTGTGAAGGTATCACACCCTAACCCTCAGGAGCCCAGGCTGGCCAGGAAGACCGTCCTCCGGGCGCCCACCCCACCGCGAGGCACCGCGGTGGGTGCGAGGCTTACCTTGGCCTGTGGGCTGAGGGAGCGGATGGACGGCACGGCGATGAGGGCGAAGCGCTCGTACAGGTACTCGTTGGAGGAGCTTCCCTTCAGGAGGGCGAAGGGGATGAGGTAGAGCTCCCCCTCCAGGACCAGGACCAGCTGCCGGTGCCGGCCCACGGGGCCGCTGGAGTGCATCAGGCCCTGTCGGGAAGCGTGGACACCTGAGCCGGGGCCCGGCAGGTGGGGACCTGCCTGCACCGGGCGTTGCCGAGCCACATACACGGATGCACCCAGGAAGCACTGGGCAGGCCCAAAGCGTCCATGTGGGGAGCGTGGGTGGTGGCTTGGGGCGCTGCCCACGGGAGCACCACCCCGTGGGGGCTTCTGTCCGCCTCACGGGCCCCACCCAAGGGGGAGGTTGGGAGCCAGTCCTGTGTTTTATTTTATTTTTAGAGAGTGTATGCGAGCGGGGGAAGGGCAGAGGGGGAGAGAGAGAATCTCAAATGGAACGCAGAGCCCGACGCGGGGTTCAATCCCATGACCCTGGGATCATGACCTGAGCCGAAATTAAGAGGCGGACACTCAACTGACTGAGCCACCCAGGCGCCCCAGGGGGCCGGTCTTTTTAAGTCGGCAGGGCAGGGTGAGAGACCAGGTCACCAGTCAAGGAGGGGGGTGTCCCACGAAGACCAGGACTGGCCCCAGTAGGTCTATGGGAGGCAGGGAATTGTTCCAGAAAGAGCCCTGTGAGTCATTTACTACCGAGGGCCAAGCCAGAGGATGCCACGTTGGTCCGAAAACCCTAAGAGCAGTGTAGGCGTGATTCCTCTGTGACACCGTTACTGGGCCCAGGCTGAGTGTGAACAGAGACGAAGCCAAGGCCACTGCCACACAAGGGGACGCCACCCGGAGCCTACCCGGGGAGAAGACTGAGTGAGAGCACGGGGCATCCGGCTGCCGGCTGGCCCTGGCCCTGGCCCTGACCCTGGCTCTGGGGACAGTCACAGCCAGACGCCCGTCACCCCCACCCCTGCTGGCCTGTGCTCCGCAGGAGTGAATGTGCGCGCCTAATCCGTCTGACGTGCTGCTGCGGGCGCTCGACCGAGGCTGCAGAAGGCACTCAGCTAACCCAAAGTGACATGTGCCCGGCGGGACATTCAGTCCGTACAAACCCCCTGTGGCTCTTTCACTTTTTAAAAATTCTAGATGCATCGAAAGAAAGCAGAGATAAAAACTATTAGGCCAATTTGCTTGCTGTTCACTTTAAGAGCTATTTCCCAAGAAGGGGTAAAGGAATCACTGTACAACCGAGGGAGGAGGAAGTGGGCTGTGTCACACTGTGTGATGAATTTCTGGGTGGGCCCAGGGAGGCGAGGAGGGCCAGGTGCCTGTGGGCTTGGGAGTCCCCTGGGCCTGGTGGGAGTCCCCACCCACCATGGCCACGCTGAGGGCCGCCCCCCCCCCCCCCCCCCCCCCCCCCCACCGGCCCTGCAGGTGGAGGTGGCCCTGGAAAGCTGCCCTGGATGGCAGTGCCCCGACCTTGCTGATGGGTCAGCAGCCTTACCAGAGACAACCACTCACTGCTCAGCGGGGGCCTCCCTGCCCGACATGTGGGCAATGTGGGAGCTCGGGCTACTGCCATGTGCAAAACCAGGCCCACTCTCGGCTGGTCCAGGGTCACCAGGCATTTGGTGGATGAGATACAGGCCCCACCTTCAGAGGCCCTCCTGGGACTCCAGCTGCCGGGGGCCGAAGCCCCCGATAAGTCTCTACTGGCTGTCACCCCATAGGTCCCGGGCTTCCCCGGGACCCACACCACTCCCGGACAAGCCCTCAGTCACGACAGCACACACACGCGGGGATCAGAATGAACAGAGGGGTCCTGGGCCAGTGAGAGCTGTAATGCCGAGGCTGGAGGCCATTCAGAGAGGCGTCACTGGAAGGGTCTTTGTACGGACTCTGTGAACTCTGCCTGCAAGACCTTATCGGGGGCCCCAGCCTAAACGTGGGTGATGTCATGTCCCCGAAGGCAGCATGGGTGTCTTCTCTGACAATAAATTCTGATCTCTACGAGGGGCAGTCAACGTCATGTGGCCCTGCTATTGGGAGTCACTCTCCCTCACCAGGTGGCAGCTTCTCCATCAGCCAGGAAGACTGTGGACCGGGGGGAAGCCAGAGAAGTTAGGAGTCCGGGCCTGCTCGCAAGCTTACAACGGTGTACTCAGAAAATGTACATAAGAATCCCTTACTGAACGAGGTGGTATTAACACAGAAGCCTAAAATGTCAGCCCCAGAGGGTGGCGGTACCCACCCAGGACATGACGACGGCCCTGCCAGGAGGCCGCCTTGGCTTGTGAGGGCTGGGGAGGGCCTGGCCCGGGCAGAGGAGGCCCGTGAGGTCAGCAGAGAACAAGGCTGGGGAGAGACGTGGAAGGCAGGCTGGGGAGGGCCCCGCCCGAGGTCAGACAGGAAAGCACGGCTCATGTCGGCTATAAGCACCTGCCATACGTTCTCTGCTGAGGAGCCTCCGATGGATGTGCAGAGGTAGGCCTGCGTCACAGGGGATGGGGCTGTGCATGCTAACGCAGATGAGGAGACAGCACGGAGAGAACGGGACAGAAGACTTGCCGGGACTTGGTGAAGAGTGACCTCGGTCGTGAGGAGAGGGAAGTCTCTGGAATTCTAGCCTGGAGATGGGGACAGTTTTCTCTGAGTGGACTGCGTCTGGGTCTGATACAGAGGTCTGGGTTCTCCTGGAATGGTGCCTCATGGCTGGTACTGAGCTGCACATGCGCACAGTCCTGGGTGGGGGCCCTGAATGGGACCCCTGTGCAGACAGTGTGGAAGGAGGCAGGCGACAGCAGCACTGGCTTGTGGGCAGACAGGCCCCACAGCAGACTGACAGCTCCAGTTAAAAGATATGGGGAACGGACTGAACATGTTGGAAAAGATGCCCTGGAAACTGTCTTCTGAATTTTCTGCCTCCAAGGATACACGTGCACTGCCTTTTTACCAAAAGATTAGCTATAATCCAATGTGAACTTGAAAATGGAAAATAAAGTGATGTCTCTATCCAAATTACATGTCATCTATTAGATGGAAAAAGGAAAGACAATTCAAAGAAAGGCTCCTCTGTGCCTCCGAATGTCAGTCTAGAAAGGGTATTTGCTGGCTTCTTAAGAGTCCTGGGCTTGTAAGATAACGGGCTCAGCATCAGCCCCACACCAGCAACTAATACATTCCAACAAATTCCAGCAAAGACTCAGACTTTCTGACTTCTGAAGTGTCTAGAAATGGATCTTTTGAAATAGCATAAGATCAGAAGGCCAGGGGTGCTAAAACCTGTCTACTCCCCCAGTGACCTTGCCCATCCCAGTGTGTGCCAGGCCCAGGATGGAAAAGGGAGAGACCGAGTGCCCCAAAAGGCAGGCCTGGCAATGAATGGACTCAGGCTAAGCTCAGTCTTTGCACGGGGGGGGGTGGGCTATTCCTTTAGACAGGGCAGGCAGCGGGCACCCTGGAGGTGGGTGTGAGCGGCTGTTAGACTCTCAGCTCCTGGCACCTTGTCAACACCTGCCCTGTGACTGGGTTCCTGCAGCCAGGTCTCCTGTGGAGGAAGCTCGCTGCTGAGCTTTCTCAGGGGAAGGCACGGAGGGTCAATGCCAAGGGAAGGCCTAGGTCAGCGGTAGGTGCAGGGACGTGCAGCGGAGCCCAGGACGTGTCTGTCTGGGACCCTGCAGTCTTGGCCTGGCGATAACCTTCCCACAGCCCTTTCCACATGAAAACCAGGTCCCGGGGACCCTGTGCACTCAGCAGGCCCCTGCCCCGGCAGGCGCCTGGACTCTCACTGCATACCCTTGCCAACTGGAAGCCGACTGTCTGCCCACCTGCCCCCACGCAGAGATGGCCTTTGCTTGCCAGCAGCTCAAGACGTGCTCCAGCCTGGCCAAACCAGCAGTTTGCTACCCAGTGGGCTGAACCACACCTTCCCTGGTGTCCACCTTTTCTTGGGTAAACTCCATGATGCCTGTGTCCTGGCTTCTGGCTTAAGAGCTATGTGCTGCACACAGGTCACCAGGGTTCGGAGGATCCGCCTGCACCCTCCATGTACAGGGAGCTTCGTTGTCACTAGAGGACACAGGAAGCCCCTCAGAGTGCCACAGCATCACAGACCAGAGGAATAAACACCCCTGATCCTGGGTCCGTGAGTTTTCGGGCAGATTCGATTTGGGATAAAATGGACTTTACTGTCTACAAGGATTCCAGAAGCAAGAACTGCTTGCAATCTGGCCACTACAGAGCTGTGTTACAGGCTTGGGATTTTCTTCCTGACTCGTATTTTTGCTCAAGTGAATTGATCAGACCTTTCTAAGGTAGGGAAACCTCTTCCGTGATGTTTCTGGGAGATCCCGGCATCAGGGAAGGCTGCACCTGGTCTCAGCAAATATCACAAACCTGTTGGAAGTAACGCTCAGACCATGACTAAAATCTATAGACTGTACACACTGCAATCCAACAAGAAAAGCAGGAGTACGGGTCAACTCCTTCGACTATGTTCTTTGGCCAGACAACAGACCACTGGTTTGCCTGAAGAACCAAATAAAGGGAGGGGTTCGGAATTTAGGTCCTGGGGAAAAGTGACCATCCTCCAGCCAGAGCCGGAAGGGTCTGCCGGCCAGGAGTGTTCAGCTCCAGCTAAATCAGCCAGAGGGGTTGCGTAAGCCGCAGGGGCCTTGGACAAAAGTGGCCTTCTCTTTCTCGACAGACCTGGGAACAATGAGCCCTCGTGCCCTCAGGGGCAGGAACCTGCCAGGAGAGGCTGGGACAGCCGCTGTGGAACATCCCCTCGAACAGAGCCAGAAGCCAGCATTGGCCCAGTTGGGAACAGCACTCACCTCATGGGAGCCTGCTCTCCCCGCCGGTTTTGGTGCCCCAGAAACCGAATGGAGCTAGCTTATTGCCTCCATTTTTCCGTCTCCTAATCAGTTGTAGAAATGTTTGCTGTCCTCGTTTGAATATTACTGCAGATGTCTCACTCAGAAATCCATTAGACAGGCTGGTGGTGGGCGGCCAGCCCTGAGCATGCCAGTCTCAAGGACCTCATCTTCCACTCCGCAGTCTGGAGTGTAGGTCTGATTGTTTCTAGGGACAAATACTCCCTGGCCATCTCCAAACCTTCAATCTATGTACAAAACAGGCACCCAGGTGGTTGTCTCCTGGGGCATTGCTCTGGGGTAAACTGGTTTATCAGGCTAACTGGATTTTGCAAGAGTCCTCTCCCCCAGAGCAATAATTCAAGGTACAACCCAGGCAGAGCTGAGCTGCGCACCACTCCCCCCCCTCCTCATCCCCACCGCACCTTGCAGGCATTGATGAGAGGTCTCAGATGCTTCCCAGAGACCCGGTGCTCAGGAAGGCAGTTTCCCAACCTAACAGACCTGAACTGCAAGTTTTAAGCACGTTTCTGCGATCCTGAAACAGGTAAGCCCACGTCAACAGGCGGGCCAGGAATACTTTTCCCTCTTATCCTGGTCATTCACTCTTTCAGTCTGTCCTACAACCTTGGTTTTACGACTGTAAATACAGGAAACGGGGAATTTCGGTAAATGGAAGTAATGATAAGGATGACAGGGGACTATAACTAGAAGGAGTCCAAACTCCAGTGATCCTGAAAGGGCCCCAAATCTGGACCTGTGGACAATGATTCGAGCAAATCCTGGGCAGTTCCCTGTTCTACGTCTGGCACCTTGATCAAGCAGCCTCTGGCTTTGGGTGAAGCCCCGTGTGCAAACTGAGGGGGTGAATTGGGACCTGAGTGAACAAGGGCTTCCCCTGAGCAGCCCAGGGGGGCCTCTTAAGTCCAGGCCCAGAAGCATGGCTTACTGTCTTTTACTCTAGTTTGAGTAAAAATGAATGCCAGGGACACAAACAGGGTCCAGTCCCTTTCACACTAAGCACTTGCAACTTTTCTTCGGTGACATTTCCTCTCGTGGGTGTCAGACAGGACTTCACTTAATGTCTGATGATGGGTCACGTGCAGATGCGGCCGGGCCCTCCTGGAAGAGAGCCGGACGTGCTCGTCCCTGACAGCAAAGGACGGCGTGGTTCCAGGAAAGAGCCACGGCAGGGTTTCCCTTAAGCCAGATTAAATCAAATACTGGTAGAAGCCTAGGGTAAAATATTATTTTGTTCCACTTTTCGTACTGTCTGACCTAGTCCCTTAGCCATAGGACTGGGGCTAAACAAAGGCAGTTGTTCAAATAATTATAAGCCCCATGTGAAGAGGCTAATCGTTTTAGTCTTGAAGTGTCAGTGATTCATAAGCTTGGACCTTCGGCTTTGATTTGTCTTTTCATTGAAAATGTGGAAGAGGGTTTGACCCTGCCTGGGAGCTGACGGGGCCGGGAGCGGGCGGGTGGTGTCCTATCGCCCTCTAGTGGCCGCCAGAGCAGGCGGGTGTGCTGGCCTCAGGAAGTGACAGGAAGCTCCAGGCCCCCTCCTCCACCTAGGCGGCCCTCTGAGGAGGCGTCGCTGCAGCCCATCCCACCTGACATTCCCACACGGGATAGCCACCCGCTTCGCACCTCCTCCTCCGTGTCCGGGACGGTGTGTCCCCAACACATGTCAACAAGTACCTGGTGAATGAATGGATGAAACTTCTCAGTCAAGTGTTTTTACTGAAACACCACGTATCCCTTCAGAGAGCCTGGGAAAAGCTCTTGCTCTGACCATTTACTTTAATGGCCTTTGACAGGTTTCACTCTGGCTCCTTTGAGGCCGCCCACACTCCTTCACGGTATTTGAACACCTCGGCCACAAAAGAAAAGAGTTTAACTATCAGGGACTAAGGATACGCTTTCGAACTTAATGCCCCATGTCAAGCTCAGACTGCACCCCGAAAGTGGGCGCGTGGGGCTCTGTCACATGTGTTCGTACAGTGTAGTTCCTGAACTGCATGCTGGCCAGTGGGTCTGGTGGCGGGGCTTTTCCCTTCCTTGGGTAATGCCACGAAGGCTGATTTCATTCGCTGTTATAACTTGTTGAGGGCCGTAAGTCTTACCCTCCCCAGTCACCACCTTCTCCTGGCTCAGTGGGGTGGGTGTGGGTCCCCTGCGGGCATGCATGATCCTACCCTGAAGTAAGCTAGAATCCTGGCACCTTGCGGGTTGGCGGGGTCAGGGTCTCACTGGATTCCAAGGTGTGTAAGAGCGGGCCCAGCCCCTTCCTCCTGCTTCCCGACCTCCGGGAAAGCTCTCAAGTGCCGCAAAGTGGCCACAGAAAACCCAAGGGCTGATTTGTGCCTTGGGTCCTCTGCTTCATATGACAGACTAGTCCCAAACAGCAAGTGCAGCATTCCACCAACATCACTGAGTGTCAACGTGTCCCAGGCCCTGTGCCAGCTGCTGAGGACACAGATGAGGGACCATCCTCGCCTTCAGGGAGTGTGGGGTGGGCAGCAAGAGAGGGAAGGTGAGGCTTGCCAAGAGCTAAGCTCTGAGTCCGGTGAGGTATGGGGTGCCATGAAAGACACGGGGCATACATGGAACCCCAGTGGCTGGTGGGGAGGGGGATGAAGCCTGCAGGGTGGTGGGAAAAGAGGGCAAGGAAGGTTTCAAGGAGGAGGGTGCACGTGAGCTGGCCCAGAGAGAGGCGAGGAGCTCGTCAACTCCAGGTGACCTGAGCTTCCAAGTACGCGCTTGGTCACAGCCAGTCTCCCCCTCTGCCCTCCGCCCCCTGCCCCTCCTCACCGCTCCCACCAGCCCCTTCTTGCCCCTCCTCACCGCTCCCACCAGCCCCTTGCACGTGCAGGGACTAAATAATCTGGGACCCAGGTGCAAAAGGAGAAATGCACTCACTCAGAAGGCCCGAGTGAGTGAAAGAATGGAGGGTCCCAATAGCCTTCAGAGGGGCCGGGGGATCAGCGCACGATGCAGAGCTCAGGGCGGCAGGGAGTGGTAGTAAGTCACCAAAACGGTCTTTGTGACGACTGATGGCAGTAAAGAAAACCTGAAAAATCAGCCTAAGGGTACAGGTGTATATTGCTTCCCTGAGATGTGGCACACAAATCACACTCTGATAGCATGCTGTCGGAGGTGCTCTGAGCTGGGGCGCTCTCTGCAGTCCTGGCCCTTCCTTAAAAAGAGGACGCCGAGGGGACAACGGTCCTAAGAAGAACAGGACAGCCCAGCGCATTGCAGGAAAGGAGGAGACAGGACTGGGCCTCTGTGCTGACGGGCCCAGAGGCCTGGGGTGCTGGGAGGGGCAGTGACCGGGTCACAGCAGCCACCTCTCACCAGGGACTCTCCCTGCTTCTGCTGCCCTGCGTGCCCCTCAGATCCCGCTAAGCCCAGCCCTGCTCTGACCTGACACACTCTGTGGGGTCGTCCTCATTTTCTAATGAGGACACAGGTACTTGAGGAGGAGAAACAGCTTGGCCAAGGTCACCCAGCCAGGGGAGGGTAGCGTCAGACAGGAGTCCAGACGGCCGGCCACCCCTGGCTCCCTGAGTGAGGGAAGTCTGGAGGGCCCAGGCAGGGGGCACGGCCTCCTGAAAAATACCGGGCGAGTGCCACGTGTCCTTGGCCAAATGCTTCTGCATTTCCTGGGGATGAGGAATCACTGTCAACGCGGGGTTTCCCGAGGAGGCACATCACCTCTGCCAGCAGGCTGAAGTGGGCGAGGGTGCTGCCGAGGGGCCACCCCAACGTCTGCAAGACAAACCTCCCACCTGGCTGCACACAGCGGCCAGGACGTGTGGGCTGGGAAGGCCGGCGGCCTGCTGTCCAAGGGCCCGTCAAGCACGTCCTCCCTGTCTGAGAGCCGGGCCCCCACAGATGCAGGCACTCTGGGCTCTCCGTGGGGTCTGTTAAGGACTGCCTGTCAGGGACTCATTGAAGACCTAGCCCCCTGTGGAATGGTACTGGCCGGGGGGCGGGGGGTTTGGGACATAATTTGGTTTAGATGAGGTCATGCGAACGGAACCTCCATGATGGGGCCGGTGCCCTTACAAGAAGAGGAAGGCACCAGAGCCTCCGTGTGAGGACACAGTGGGAAGAGGGTTGTCTGCACCCAGGAAGAGGGGCTTCACCAAGAAACTGAATATGCTGGCACCCTCACCTGGGACCTGAAGCCTCTGGAGCCATGAGAAATAGATGTGTGCTTTCTAAACCACCCGGTCCACACCGTTTTGTTAAAGCAGCCAGAGAAGACTAACACACAGTCACATACAAACGCATCTGATAGGTGCACCATTCAGATTCAAAAGATCCCCGAGCCCTTTGGGTTCCCCAACCCAGGCGGAGAACCGTGTCCAGATGGAAGGATGATGTGCGAAGACCAGAGCCACAGAAACCCATCAGGGGCCGTTCTCAACCTTTTCAAGAAATCCGAAGTGAAAGGGTGTCTTTGATGCTGGACTCTGGGGTGGAGTCAGTGGCCCCTGACGGTGGCAGGGGCCGACGGATCTGTTCTCGGCAGACAGCACGGCCCTGGCATGAGCTGCTCTGGCAAGACCCTCGGACGACAGGTGGGAGGTGGGGAAGCAGTCCCGCAGGGTGAGACAGAGCCACGGGCACAGCCCTCTTGGATCTGCTCGGGGCCCACGCCGATGGCGCGCTCGCTGCTGACCACGGTGGGCGTGTGCACAGCCCCGCGCCTCCCTGGGCCTCCCGGAGTCTGGTCTGATGAGAGGAGGGAGGAGGGCAGCACTTCACCGTGTACCTGACGCAGCCGAGGCCAGATGTGCCTGGCTGGAAAGGAGCAGAGCTCCGACTTTAGCCTGGCAGCTGGAACCCGGGGCGTCACGCACTAACCAGCAGCCAACCCAGAAAGCGCTTCCAAACACCGACTGAGAAGCTGGACAGAGGTTTGTGTTCTGGAAACCACTCCCCCCCCCCCAC